TCATTTTTGTGTGTTTACTTCAATTCTATTTTGTCGTCTTTTTTGCCTTTCCGTGCACTCATTTGGCAGCATGAATATTCCCTTCATTCACAGAGCCACTCGCACGGCAGCCATTGTGTATGCCTACAGATTTTGTTTCAATTGATCTACCCTACAGTGCTCCATCACCACTCACTTTTTTATTACTACATGCCGGAGAATGACCAGGAAAAAAAATCGACACGAAAAGTCAAATGCTTTTCATCTCCGCGTACAACTATATAACCCTCTATATCCCGGGACCCTGTGTCTTGCTTAAACCTCCCAGGGCAAAAAGAGCTTCACTCCAAGCGAGAAATCACAACGACGGGCGCGTTATTAAGTCCCCACCACGCGCGCTGGATCACCCCGCGGGTATCGCGAGTCCCCGGCCCCCGTCCGTACATACACGGCCAACCGAGTTATCAAGACTTCTCTCTGTCTGTGTGTTCCTCTCGTTGAATATTTAGCGTGCGACTCACGTTTCCAGCTAAACAGAGAGCGAGAGAGTCGAAGTGGGAGGAAAGACGAGAGAGATGAACTGAGAGTGAAAAAAAGTCTTCGTGTTATAGATAAGACTCTGGGTTGTTCATCGGTTGACTTTTTTATGATGGATGACGGAGCATTATTAACCCTGCATGCGCCGCAGAGCGTTTAGCGCCATAAAAAGCCAGGATTTATGCGCTGCTCCGCAAAATAAATGCAACGGGGGAAGAGACGGACGGAAAACAATTACAGTGGGATTTGGTTGTGTGTCTTCGCCTGCGGGTCGGAGTTTGGATAATGCTGTGAAAATATGGGTGAAAACATATGGCGGGTTTCATTATTGTTAGGTTGTTAGGAAGGTTAAATGCAGTGATTCGAGGAGTTACAATTTGCGGCTGCGTGTGTACAGGCTGGTACGCGGTTGTTGCAAAAAGTCAAATCCGCACGCTAGCCGTGTAATAACTTAGGGAACCCAATGCTCGTTTGACGCAATGATGAATGCGCAGTCAGGGTACAGTGGTCGCTCAGCAGACTGGTGCCTTTACATGACCTCTAATACCCGTCATTGAATGCTGTTTCCATGTTAAAATGCTCTCAGTGAAATTAACGAGGATACATTCAATGCCATTAATGTCATTGAAAACATTTGTCTTTTAACCGTATCTTTAATTTTCGTATAGTTCAGTGATTGATCGTTGATCTCTCGAAATCTTTCTCAAAATATTCATCAAAAGCTGAATATTAATTCATCATAGGATATCTGATTAGAATAGGATTCTATTCGTCAATAGAATAGGATTATATTCGTCAATATCAATATTATACTTCCCTGCTGTTACTTCGTGTATTGTTGAGACAACTGCAGTCAGTATTGCCCAATCAGGATACCATCCTCACGGGGACTTTGCAATAATTGAGGGAAATGTCCTCTATCCTATACCCATGGACTGGCTAATTGATTCTAAATAGGGCACGACAAGGCCCGAACACGTCCGCTCCCTTCACTATACTCTCTGAAGGTGTTATTTCTTGGTGACGTGAAACTGGCTTGACAATCTCCCTAAATATAGAGCGGGCGGATGCGCTCTCGATCGAACCGTTCAGGCTGATTGTTTCCCAGCACCAACATTGAAATCCGAGAACCCGAAACGGCAGGGGGATATTTTGAGAGTTGACCGGCGAGGGAATCATTCTCGGCGCTCTTGTACATTTACGTCATCGACGAAACAGCAGAGAGTGTGAGACACGTCAGTGAACGCAGTGCATGATTGTACGAGTTTAGCTGTGCATAACCAAACCATTACTCTCAGAAGTCCCGGGTCAAGTTCGATCCCGAATCCGTGTCAGCTTTGACCTGACATTCTTCTGGGTCAAAATGACAATTTGTCGTGTAAATCTGACACTTTTGTCGGTGAAAATGACATCGCCCCGAATCCGGGTCAGTCTCGACCTGACACTCGTCTGGGTCAAAATGACAATTTGTCGTGTAAAATCTGACACTTTTCTCCGTGAAAATGACAATATGTGGCAACTGTCTGGGTCAAAAGTCGGGCGGGACTAGTGACACAGGCATCATTGTCATTTTGACCCAGAAAAAGTGTCGGGTCAAATCTGAAGCGGATTCGGGTCGAAATTGCACCCTGGACTTTTTTAGATTGCACTAACGGGGTTGAGCAGAAAGTATTGCACGGCGGATTTGTGTGTTAAGCAAAAGTATCAGATAGGGAACCAGTCACACCAAAAAACATACCAATTTAGCTGGTAGCCTGTCATTGCTAAGCATACATTTTCTATGCTAAGCACATCTGTGTGCTCGGCAACTACACAAAATTGGTCCAATGTTTTTTTTTCCTCTGCCGACCAAAGCTTGTGTCAGTAATACAGAGAACCTTGCAACGACTCGCCGCCCCTAATCGCAGACAATCGGTCGACGTAGTCGGAACAACTTCGCTGGATATCTGCTATCAACGTTTATATGAATGTGTTGCGATTAGCTGCGTGGCCGCGGGATTTGTTTAAAGAGTGATCTTTACGTAACTGAGTGGGATCTTCTGACACAATTGTTAAGACAGAAATTGAACTTTGCCATAGCTGCACAATTTCGCGACTTACACAAAGTCATCTTTTAGTAGTTTATCAAAATATCCACAATGTTTTCAGACTCATCAGCGACGACGTGTAATGAGCAGGACATTCTCATACATAAGTCGACACAATATTGTTTGTACCAGCTCCGCACATGTATATCTGCGATTCCTCTAGTTTGATTCTTCTTATTTTTTTAGTCTTGCAGTCTCCGAATTTGTCTACACGGTGTCGTCAACATAATAAAAAAAAAACTGCACTTTGATTGAATGCATAAAATGACACTCCTTTTGACGGGAACAACGTCCAAAATAACTGACGTAATTAGTCAAGGAGTCTGCCGATCTTGTATCTGCCGGCGATGGGGCTCCATTCATCTGTCATAGACTGTCATTAATTTCCTTTCTTTACTACTGTCACCATAGGCGACCTATATTTGGTGCTACCCTTTTAGCCCGCCCAGATGTCGCACCTGGGTACGCCTTCCGTGGAGGAAGCCTTTTGTTTGCCCAGATTCGTGTCATCACCTGGAGTTGCCGCATTGTTCTGGTTCCTGCTACCAGGTGGATTGTACCTGTGGGCGCGCGCGTGTTCGTGTCGCGTCTCCTCTTTTTTTCTTCTTTGCATCTGGGAAGTCTCTCGTGGTTGGCATATTCAGCTGTCGATTGGCATAGCTAGCTGACAGTTTCTTTGTATCCATGCCTCATAGGTATCTATATCAACGTCAATGTATTGGAGACCATCCGACAATCACTAACTTCCAGCTTCTGTTAGTTCCGGCCAGGGCCCAATTTGACGGCGCTGCTAAGCACAAAAATTTGCTGAGCGCGAAAAAAGTCTGGCTAATAAAAGCAGGTTACCAGCCAAAACTCCACGTGATGTATATTGCTCGTGATTAGTATTCAGCTGTTGTTTGCTTTGCATGAAAATCACGTGGAGTTTCGGCTGGTAACCTGTTTTTTTAAGCCAGACTTTTTTTTGTGCTGAGCAAATGTGCGTGCTTAGCAGCGCCCTGAAATTGGGCCGTTTGTTACTCAATGTCCACGCCTATACACACTCAACTAAGACTATTTTTAGTGAAGTAATGAATTGAAGGAGATTAAAAATAAGTCAGCATAAAAGGAACATTAATTACAACGTTTAAAATCTGAGGGACCGAAACAGAATTTGGTACTTTTAAATGATTTTGTCTCTTTTCGGGAATTCTTTATTGAAATATGGAGACAACTTCTGTAATTTATGTAATTCATCCCTTATCCCCGATTAGCTTCATGTTTCAAGTTGCATTGTTACATGCACTTGTACAGTTTCTTTCCGAGCAAACCAACACACCGTAGGCACCATCGTGCATATATGTCAATCATGCAAATTATCTCTACAATAGAGCAATGGCCAACCCACGATCTGCCATAAAATAGTCGTCGTCGTCTTTATCAAGTTGTGTTCATGGACAGACATAAAACAGATTCGTTTGTAGTGAAAACATAATCTACACGAAGACTTGCATGGAGCTTCTGAACTATGAAACAATGGTTTTGGAGAGCATTAATGTTCAGTTTTCATGTAAGCGCCCTCAAGAGTTGAAACCAGTTACAGCAGCCCAGTATTTCAGCCGAGAGTTTCGGCACCGAATTTTGTAACTACAGGAGAGAAGCGTCATCGCAAAACGATACGCGCAAAATGTCACCATTGTTATTTTTATTTATTGATTGATCGTTTGGCGTTTTGTCGTTCTTTCTTTCTGTCCCTCTCTGTCTTTCTCTTGTGACCGGGCCGGCCTTGCCGATTGCCCGCTCGCACGTGCCGTTCAAATGACCCCGGCCACCGGGCTCGTCGCTTTGGGATTCCCTCACGCTCGCCCGAACGCCAATGGATTGTTGCATTGGACCCACCGGACCAAGGGCAGAAAGAACAAAAATACAGTACCGGTGCGGCTAAGATCACACAACGGCACAGTCCCTGGTCGAAGTCACCACAAGGAGGTGGTCTTCGCCAACGAAAAAAAAAATTATAAAATCTGATAATAGAAATCTAAAATAAAAAAGTTGAAGGGCCTGACTCGACTACCTCAACTCCAGGGGAAAATGAGCACACACGAGGCAAGTTGATTTACATGACAAGAGGCCACGGGTGAAGGGGCTCCCCGTGCACGCGGCCAGACAGGATCGCTGTCTTGGCCGAGGTGCGGGTCCGGAGTTTGCTAATGCATGCCCGGAGCAGGCAAGCAGAAATGGAGAGGGGAGGGGGTGGTTAAACCGCGTATAGACCGCTATCCTCCCATCACCAACGTCCTGTCAGTGGTCATATCCCTCTGAGGCCTCCACCTCTTCGCTCCCCCCTCCACCCGCTGTTTTCATTGCAGGCGATAGCGCCCCTTGATTGGCTGAGGCCGGCTCATCTCTATTCATGCGGCTTGGTACGCGCGCAGGGCGCCCCGATATCGCAGCCATTAACCGCCAGCAAACCAATAAGCGGCTTGGGTCCCTGTTGCTAAGCCATTGGGCCGGCAGGGAATTCGTCACATCACTGGCTCCGTCGGCTCCGCTTGAACCTCCACACAGCATTTTGCTGGGAGCCCCCTAGTGACTGAGGCAGCCGTACCGAGTTATAGAAGACGAAAGAAAAAGTGTATTATTGGTTAGCCCCACCGCAAAAACAAATCACTAACAATGAATCCGGGCTTCAATATTTGATAAATCACAGTCGAGCAGTGATCTGGGTGGTTGCCGTGGCGTGTATGTGTGCAGCATCTCTCTTACTCCAGCAAAGCTTGATGTCGTCTGCTCCTTATAAGCCAACGAGCTGACGGTGTGTTTATGTGTGTGTGAGTGCGCGCGCGTACCTCGGAGAATTCACTTCTAAACTTGAGGCGCCAGGGGTTTTTGTTATCCCTCATCTCTTCACTTCCTCTTCGAAGCTCAAACCTGGTGCATGCTGCTGAGGATCGGCCGGAGTTTTGTTAGCAAAAGAGCACATGCGTTCCGGCCCAAAGTCCGGATCTTTGGAAATTATCTCGGGGATCCAGGCCGCAATAGTGGAGCTCCAACGGGAGAAGTTCGCGGCGGTGGCGGACAAAATCGGTGGGAAACGCTGGTCGCCGGTGCATCACTCCTACTCCCATCACTACGATACGCCCGCCCATCAGATGTTTCTCACGGGTAAAACAAACTCAAATCCACTTCTCTCACACTTAAAAATCATTTCCCCCAAAGAGAATCATTTTTAATCAAAGCCTGAATCCAGAAAAAAAATTGCCAAGAAATTAGCTGGACGTTTATTTTTAGCCGGAGAAACCCCCCGCGCCACTTATGACTGTGCAAGATAGTCGGTACTGCAGGAAGGAAGGAAGGAAGGAAGGATGTCTGCATCTCCACGCATGTGAAGGGTTCCTCTCCCGCGCGCTCATTTATTTAACGGCGCTGCGGCGCGGTCGGCGAGCGGCGCACGGCGAGCCACAACGGGGCGATCGTCACTTCTTCACCGTGCGGACTTAACCTGCGACGGCGGGGATTTTGTCTTCTTCTCCGTGTTCGTAGTAATTCTTCCCCGCGACCGTCTCCGGCACCCCTCCTGCCCGCCGTGCGATCGGCGCTGCTCTCGGTAGACCTAGACCGCGATATGTGGACTAAACTTTCTCTTCTTTTTTCTCTCGGTGTTTGTTGCAGAGCCTTCGTGTGCTGAGTCGCTGGTGCGCGGCAGGCAAAACAGCTGGGCCTCGTCTGTGCCTGTGTCCTCCTCAAAAGGTAAGTTTGAAATTGAGTTTGTTTTCAATTCTCTCACCTGGAGGCTTGTGACATTAACCTGAGCGACGGTGCCAAAATTGTATACCAAAAAGAGAAACATTCAACAGCCGTATTTCCAATAGCAATCAATTAGGAATCATTTTTGCAGGTGTGTGAATGTTAAATTGTTCAGATGTCATGTATACATGCGTATGAAAAGCAGTAGCGAATATCAATGTTCAAATTGTATTTCTCATGTTGTCTGGGTAACAGGAATCAGTTGATACGATATTTAAGCACCGGCTTTTTTATTCGCCGCTGCTAGGCACCACTTGACAATTGAAGTAATCATGAATAATTCTTTCCTCAACTGGACTTGTTTTGTGCAACGTTAGTTTTGCAAATTACCTCAACACTCTTTGATCGTGAATCAATGAAAATATTTTTGTTATCTGCTGATGACGAGCAGGGCAAACTGTTCGAAATTAAGAGTTAAACCAACTGATTCTTCTCAGAACCACACAACTCACTAGAGATATCTTCCTTTCACATGGTGTTACCGCAAACCTCCCATTCACTGATCATGTCCACCATGCAAACCCTTAGGCCTTATTTTTGTTATCGCAAGGTCCATCCCAATATCTATTGCAATTTTGAGGATTCGAATTTTGTCCGAAAGAAAAAAAAACAAATTTGATCATCTGACGCATAACAATATAAAAGATTTATCTCAAAAATATATGTGCCTTATGTATTAATTCAGGTATCATTTCACTTAACCGTGCTAGATCCAAGGAATTTGGAAGTTTATGGAAAGTTACCGTATTCTTTTACTGGTCAACGTAATAGCATTTATAAATGAGCCATGTCGTGCAAATTGTGGTGTATAATCACTATAAGTTATGAATCATTACTGCAAGAAATATAAGATGTTTTTCAGGTTTTCACTTCTGGCCAAACAACACTTCGTATACCGAAACACAGGCTGACAAAATGTGGCGTTCCTTGTGTATGAGGGAAATTGTATTTCACCGTATATAATTTCAAAGCATCAACAAAAATTGCATCAATAATTGATGCCATCGTTGTAATTCTACCGGTCATAAGGTTAATACTGTCCGCGCTTCTCACTCCCCGCCCCAGATAATTTCGACCTTCCAATTCATCTGGTTTATCGATCACAGGTTTCAAAGGACAGTCATCACATTTTTGTTTTATTTTTCATTTTCTCGTGGATTTTTAGCCCGAAACACTCTGGATTTTTTGTCCTTTGGTAGGACATTGCGATTGCTACTCAGAAGTAGAAACCTGTTTTTTTCACGACCGTAACAATGTGGTACCTGTAACAGGCGTGCAATTTTCCTCAGATCAGCTGATTTCCTCTTCTTTAACCCCCGATATGTGCCATTGAACATAGAAAAACACTGTACAAACTCTTGGAAATATTTGAATTTCCTCTTTTTTGTGACTACCCAGTTGCATGCCTGTTCCAACATTAGTGAATATTGAAGATCAACAGTACAGGATTTTAGAAGTTCTAAAGTTTTGCGAATTAGATTGTACCATGTATATCCTCAATCAAACATATCAAATATTAATCTCTTCACAATGCTTTTTAAAACAACATTTCAGTTACAAATTCAAAAGTGTCTGATGTTTTTTTAAAAAGATATCAATTTTGAGTACCAATATTAAGCCTAACATGCTAAAGGAATTCTGTTGCGTTCACCACTCAGCCGCCATGAACAACTCGATCGCCATGAACAACCAAAAAAGAGGACCTCCTATCTGTCACGTGACCGTGTCAGCCTCCACCTCGAACGAATTTCATTATAAAACCCTCGCCTATTGAATCTGGAAAGCGATCGCGGCCAGAGATTGGGCGCGCAATTGACACGCCGGCTCCCCCTGTCAATATTTTGCTACGGCTTTGGTTTCTCGCGGGATTCGGCGAGATCTCGGGGCTATTTGCACTATAGCTCCATACGAAACCCTAGTCCCGGCCGCGGTCGTGTACCGAAAACAATATGTGAAGAATTTTTTTTTTCAATTTCACGCGTGCAATTGTTTGAATATTCCGATGGAACCATGTCCCGGATCGTCCTTGTAATTGGCAAAATAACAAGGTTCGAACTGTCGACCTTTAATAGCAAAATGTCAAAGTATTCTTCCTATACGAAACTAATTTTGGACTGAATGCTGTGAGCCAAATTTTCGTAGCATGAAAATATGACTGATTTTCCTTTTTCATCATAAAAATGGGTCCTTTTGACACACTGATTCTTCTGGCAAACCAATTTTTAAAATAGCTCCCAATTTCGTCGTCAATATATAAAAAAGATATACCCAATACTTTCAGTGCTGCGTGTCTTTTTGTTTATCCTTAATGTGTGCACATTCCACGCATCCAATCAAGTTTCATGCAAACAGGGGTGAGAGGAGACATTAATATAGTTTTAATGTTAAGTAAAATATTATATGCAGGAAGAAAATGTGAAATAAATACAACTGAATTCATCCAATATAACATTTTGATTGCTGCGAAAAACAATTATACAGACAGTGCGGGTTCCGACGCGCCGTGACGTTTATGATGCGTTGCTCATCAGATTTAAAAAAAAAAAAAAAAAAAAAATTCCGATCAAAAAAAAAAAGAGAAAGGTGTTTGATTTACCGCGTAACAGACACACGGAGTTGACTGTGATTGGGAACGAAATTAAAGTCAATTTAATTACGGGGCATTGTCGGCTCGCCGGGGCGGCCCAGGCAACAACACAAGCCACGAGAAAATCAGCAATAAAAATCCCCCGGAGACCGCTTCGTTATCGCGCCGGTCAATTGTAATCGGCCAATTATAGGTGTCGTATTAACCTCAACTGCGTAGGTTTCTGGCGTTGATGGTGGGGGATCTGCAATTATTGCATTTTCTTTATTTAGATGCCCGTTCACAGTCAGCAAATTATGCAATCTTTTTGTATAAAAGACACATGAAATGCATAATCAACAACAATTGGAAGGAAGATAGAGATGATATAATCTTTGTTTAAAACAGATAAGAGCAGTGATATCTTGATTGCAATTTTGGCACACACGCATGTTTTCGTTATATACGTAGTGTGGACATTCCTTTGTTTTCGTGTAGTTAAGAACCGTGTTATCTTGATAACATTTTTGGCACACACACACATTGACGTTACACACCTAGTGTGGACATTCCTTGTTTTCGTGTAGTTAAGAAAAACCGGAGAAAAAAACTCATTTTACTCGCGCTGTGAACACTCTTTCAACCCGAGTTTGTGATCATGATTTCCTTGAGTGTTCCTCTTCATTTTCCGACGGATAAGCCTAAGCCAAGCATTCCTCTAAAACTGTTTTTTTTTTCAGAGAGAAGGAAACATTGAGTATGTTAACACCGGCAATCGTGGACCTAGGTCAAAAGGGTTAGGGCACAAACAATACGTCCACGATTGACCGATAGTCCACGATTGTAATTCGTGTACAAAACCGATGAGAGCTGTCACTAAAAAAGTTAAAGTACAAAGAAAGGACTGAAGATTAGGGACAATAGGGTCCACGATTGCCGGTGTTTACAAAGATGGGCAAGTCCACACAACGTCTTCACTACCTGCACTGTGTGGACTTCTTTTGTTCAGAGGTCCACACAGTGACTGCAGGGCGTGTTCAACTAGACTTGCCCTGCCGTTATTTGTCCAATCAGTTCCTTACACAGAAAGGCGTCTTGTAAGGGTATTGTTTCATCAAAAAGAATAACATTTAGAATGTTCAGCGTGAACCGTTTCCCTTCGTTAAAAGAACCAAATTTCTATCAATGTTTTAGGTTCGGGCTGGAAGCAGAATTATTCAAAGTACATTGATAAGGATTGAGCAAAACATACAGTTACAATAATGCTTGAACTCTGCCATAAAGTACAACGTTTGATATTGGGGAGGTTGTAAAAAAAAAAGCTGAAAATGATAAGTGTTAAGCGAAGGTGTATGCTTGGCAAGTTGAAAAGTCAAGGTACTTTCGTGTCGATAATCTAATTCCGACGAGCAATTTCACGCCTAATGGGTTTTAAAAGCTTTTTTTCGCCCAGTAGAAAGACTAATATTTAACTATTGTGCAACAAAGTGCCGGAGCTCTTGTCGTGAGAATTGTCAATTTTATTAATGACCGCCGACGATTTTTTTTGGAATATTTCGGTTGCCGGTCGCCCGGCTTTGCGTGGTGGGCTCGTCAGTTTCTTTGTATGGCATGATATTGAAGTGTTAATGAAATAATGGGGATTTACAAGTATTTTTTTCTGTCAGTGGTTGTTCAGAGTGTCGTGATTTTTCCGCAAAAGATCAGACAGGACAGCATGCGTTAGTAAACGAGACTCCATAAGCCCATGTCCATTTTTTACAGGCATCCATCCGTACTCTAGAGTCCAAAAATTAATGCTTAGGCATTCTTCTTGCTCGCCAAAATGCGGCTCGTTGCATTTAAGCTAGTCACTTATTTTAGCTATAAGCCCCGTTGCATTCTAGCTGGTCACTAATTTTAGCTATAGCCTAAGCCCCATTGTATCTTAGCTGGTCACTAATTTTAGCTATGAGCCCCGTTGTATCTTAGCTGGTCACTAATTTTAGCTATGAGCCCCATTGTATCTTAGCTGGTCACTAATTTTAGCTATGAGCCCCGTTGTATCTTAGCTGGTCACTTATTTTAGCTATGAGCCCCGTTGCATTTTAGCTGGTCACTTATTTTTAGCTATGAGCCCCGTGGCATTTTAGCTGGTCACTTATTTTAGCTATGAGCCCCGTTGCATTTTAGCTGGTCACTTATTTTTAGCTATGAGCCCCGTGGCATCTTAGCTGGTCACTTATTTTAGCTATGAGCCCCGTTGCATTTTAGCTGGTCACTTCTTTTAGCTATAAGCCCCGTTGCATTTTAGCCGGTCACTTATTTTTAGCTATGAGCCCCGTGGCATTTTAGCTGGACACTTATTTTAGCTATAAGCCCTATTGCGTTCTAGCTG